GGGGGCGATGACGCTTGCGGAGCCCCCTGAGATGTTGAGAGGGACGTGGGAGGTAGGCCGCACCGTAAGTGCTGGTCGACACTCACTCACTCACTCACTCACTCACTCACTCACTCACTCACTCACTCGCTCACTCTAATTATGTAGCTACCGGACCAGCGATAGCCCTCGCGATCCCGACCTTCCTCATCAGCTAGTTAGCTAGTTTTGCACATGTTGCTATCCGAAGCGACGGATAGCATACATGTTTCAGTGCACCCTGCAGCTATATGGCAGATCAATCAGTAGCGATACAAAGGGGGACATCGGACTGTGGCTACAGTCACTGGTACTTTTGCCGAAGTGCGAGATCAACTTCCTTCCACTGACGTTTGATCGCAATCTTTTGAAGAACGTGTCCCCTTTGAGGAACGAATGCGCATGTTCGCACAACCATCTTTCCAAGGGGGCAGGAACGCGTACCATTACATACCCAGGCCTCGGTGCCATATTTATACACAGCCCTTGGCAAGGTCACCCGCAGACGAACACCAAACCCCGCGATGATCTTTACTCTTGATGACCGGCCTGAGAAGTCCAACGGCGCAGATTCGTGGTTCTGCTAACGATCGAAATGTAGAGTAGACACAGGGTTAAGATTTCACGTCAGAGTGCAAAGAATCGAACCAAGCGCAACACGCGAGTGGGCATGAGAGCAGCTAAGAACATCACCCAGCTCTAACACTATCATGAAAGTTCGCTGAGCAAGCAGATTAAGCCCAGGGGCAGATCCCTGATACATCGGTCCAGTCGTGCTTGTGCCTGCTCGGGAAGCTGCTCGCAAGCTGATTGGATTCATGATGATGTGCTTTGCAGGAGATTCAGCCACCCTGGAGCACTTCCAGCAAGAGCCGCGATGAAGGCTGCTCTGTGGTGTGCCAGAGTAGCCTTAGCCGGCCAGAAGTGGACTGATGGCGCACACGTTTCTGCAGGCGACGCCGCTCTCTTCGAAACACTCCCCAGAGAAGGTGCTGGGCAAAATGGTGTTGCACTGGCTGGAGATTCTCAGAAGGCTGCAGTATGGCAGGTAAAACACGAACATCCAGTGACGAAGGGAACGTCAACGATTTCGCATTGCGTGTTCGAAACGGCTTCTTGGAAGTCATGCAAGTCGGAGCCTTACTTTCCCCGTCTTTTGAGCATGTGAGAGGGTTTGTTACTGAGCATCTCAGCTTGCACGAGCCTTTGTACAGTTTAAAAGCAGTCTAGAGATGCTGGGTTCAGTCGGAGATGGCTGTGCCGGGCTGTGCCGGGTCGACACATTGACCTTGGCGTGTGAGATACCTGGACTGGCTACCGTCCTGGGCTGAACTCCAACTCATTATGCACTACGAACATTTGACACTTGTCGCCCTACTGTTTATGATAGATGGGGAATAGGTCCCTACCTGAACAGCCAATGTCGGAAAGGCAATCAAAACAGGACAAGGTGTTACGCCCCTGTCATGCGATTGCACGTCTGGGATCATCTTCCGGGACGGGTGGGGAGAGTGAGGAGCCGAAATGCGAAAACCTTGCAGAACAAGTGCATTCCCAGCACCGTCCAAAGAGAATTGGTCTGGTTTTTGCTTGCAGCAGATGAACTGTGTACTGTTTTGTTTGCAGCACAGCCATCGAAGAGATGCGCACGCTGAGCTGCCAGGTGGATACGGATGACGAGGAAGACACTGGAATGCAACATTCAATAAAGAGATCCTTCAGCGACAGCCACATCGCAACTCTCAAAGAGGCTGGTGTGTGAATTGCATTCCAGTCTGGGTGTAGAAGGCATGGTCATGCAGGGTGAGAATGTCCAGGCGATGCACGAGGCAAGAGATCTCTAAATCCGCAGAGTGCGGCTGACAAGTTAATTCCTACAGTGTCCCGAGCTTACGACCTGTTGCATGCTACGTCTATTGAGATGAGTCCAAAGAGCCACTTCGCGCTTTTTGTCCCCAGGCCAATCAACCATTGAGGCTTTGTAGCCCAAAACATCCCAAAATGCTTTAGCTTGCGGGGTGCGCCATGAAGAGCCATTATTCAGCAAAGCCGAGCTGGCAATACCAAGAACTCCGTGTGTTCATCAGACTTCCAGCAGTGTTAAATGGTGGCGCAACCTCACAATTCTCATCGTCAATTGCATTTGAAATTGCTTTGTGCATTTCGGAGGGTCAGCGCTCCTCCTTCCAGATCAGGAGAACTCAGATGGTTGCGCAAACCGTCGAAGTTTTCCTGAAGTAGCAATGTGAGAGGCAGTCTCTCTTCGAGGTGGAGAGAGAAAGCAGCACCAGGTGAAGTAAAGACTCAATGCCAGGCCCCTTTCTAGAGGACCTAGTCTTAATCATCCAGCAAGTTTTCTTTCTGTAACTTCCCGATGGGGCAGGTCAGGGGCTAGGAGGCCTGGCTTTATATCCATGCTCGCCACTTTGAAGACAGTCGACTCTCGATGCCAAGGCCTTAAATGCCTTGGCCTTTACACGGCCCAGAATTCCCGTTTCAGGCCGCTTGATTTTTAAACTCTGCGTATGCAGATCGAGCTCCGACAGCTGCCCAGCGTGGAGACAACGTCGAGCCATTCTCTTTGGCGAGTTGAAGCTTTGCAGCATGGTTAAGGGAAAGAGAAGCCTGCCCTTGGACACTGGCTGCAGCCTACTCTTGAGAGTAGTGGGTTTTGTTCACCCCGTGAACAAAGCCATGGCGGTCTTGGAACCGCGCCGGCATAGGTGGCCTTCCGAGCCTTCGCAAGCTGAAGATGGGACAGGGCCTTGTTCCACAGGCCGAAGGTGGCACTGCAGCTATCCTTCCTGGCCTCCTCCCTATGATTTCCAAGCATTCTTGTAGCAGCTAATGACCTAATGGTTGTGTTCAAGATGGTTCAAGTGAAGCCAGGCCGCAGCTGTGGCCTGGTTCAGCTGGACGTCTGTGGAGGCTTCACGGAATCTTCGGAGACTTGATTTGTGCGCGGTCCGTCGCTCACCTTGCAGCAGGATGCAGCCTTCGTTACCCCTGAGACTCCATCCCTTGATAGGCAGGTTTTGGTTTTTCTGTAACTTGTCACCAGTGTGCAAGAACCTGGTGACAGGCGGGGCCTGGAGGGGCGAGAGATCTCCACAGTGGCACCAGTCTTAAGAGTGTCTGCGACAGGGAGGAGAGAGCACACAAAGCATGCTCGCAAGGCCATGCAGGGTGGCAACCGCAAGCAGAATCGGCGAAACAAGCCCAAAAAGCCTGCCTCACAGACTGCTCTTTTCTGTCTGTGCTGCAGGCAGTACCTCATGTACCTACTTATGTACATGTTGCATGCCTACAGGATGCACCCAAAAACGCAGGAGGAACGCTACAAAAAGATCTTGCCTCAGCAAAACAACCCTTTTGTGCAGTAGTCCAACGTGGTTTTTGCATTCCACACAAACAAAGGTGGGCCATTCACCATCCTGAGTATGCCACCCGCCTTTTCTTTGTGCCAGTGGCGGGCCCAGTTGGAAGAAGGCAAGTTGAACAACTGTCAAGTCATGGCTCTGAAGGAAGCGACCCTCGAAGATTGGTCGCACACACTCAAACTGACCTTCCCGGACGGCGAGGACATCGGCCCTCGTGGAAGCTTTGCATTTCGAACTTGACTTAGCTTGACATCAGGACGATGTCGTGTCAGAAGAAGAGGTGTTCGAGTATTTCACAACAGATGAGTACAAGCCAGAGGCGCACTTCTTTAGAGGGCGGGCTCTATATGATCTCTATGTCTATGTGCTTCAATGCCCAACGCGAATTCTTGTCACAAGACTCGAGCCAGCAATCGTAATTCATCATCTTTCTCGTCTAATCGACCTCACCTCCGTGCAGGCAGTAATTGTTGGCCATCAGATGCCCCACGAAGAAGTGAAGCGACTTGGCATTGCACTGGGCGGGCGAGCACGCGGAGGTCCACCCAGAATCGGGACTGCATGTCGAGACATGCCAACCCAAGCCGCCAAGCCTAGGCATGCGTACGTCCACTTCAGCGACAACACAGCTGCAAAGAAAGCCAGGAAGGAGAAGGATGGCGGTGCCATTGGCAAGGCTTTAACATCCTGCCCTTACTCAACTCGCTTCACGCCCTTCCTGTCCATTGACACAGGCATCGGAAGTGAAACTTGTCTACACCGACGAGAAGAAGCTTCTCGCTGGCAGCTATGACACCTTCCTGGCACTGTTGAGAGCATGCTGCTGTGCAAGTGTAAAGGTAAGAGAGTTTTTTGTATTGACTTACTCCCCATGCTGCATCGCTTTGATGCTTGCAGCGATCAGGTGGATCCGACTGCGGGACGGTGTGAGCCTGGCGGGTGGGTTCTGGGGCCCACGGTCGCGATGGATGAAGGCGCATGCTAAGAACATTTGCGCTGCAAGCCACTTAGGCATCACCTGCTGTGTTCCTCCTACGTTTGTCTCAGAGCAGGCATACGGCACTGACAAATACAAAGGTTGGAAAGTAGATGCCGCAAGCTCAACCTTTTTTCGGGTGGTAAACACGATGAGCCATCTTCTCGTGCAATTTTCAGGAGACGCCTCTACCTCCGGGTGCACGCAGGCACTGGTACTACCCAGAAGACTGAGGCGGCTGCAGACTTCTGATTGGAGTGGTTGGTATGAAGCCGGCGTGCAGGTCTCCAGTTCTCGTGGTCCGCCTGAGAGCAGAGCCAGACATGCTGTCAGTATGTATCATGCTAGCGGAACATTGCCTCAAGTCAGAAGTAATGTCTGTCGTTTGGCAGTAGTTTGCTTTTCGATATCTCGGACGGATCATCCTCGCACGAAAAAGTTTGCTTGACCTGCTGTGTTGCAGCAGTGTGGCATGCCCGGCCGTCATCAACCGTTCATTTTTGATTCTGCTAGCTTAGGCTTCATAGTATCGACCCCAAGGATACAGATGAAAGTTCGGTATAACGGACCATCTGCATGAAAGAAGGACGGATGCAAGCACGTAACTTCATGGTAGCGTACCGGTTCGCATCACGACACATGGCTTTGAACATGTGTTGACTCGTCTTGGCAGATAGAATCTAAAGCCCTTGTTTTGCGCTGCTTGAGCGTTTCGTGCAGCCGCAGCACATGTCTTTGAAGTGCAAGCGCAGAGGCTTGAGAGTGATTTCAGCTTGCATTGAAAGCCTGCGCAGTGCAGAATGGCGGGGAGTGGGGGAGATTGGAATGAAGGAGCTGTCCAAGGGCGACTGCGTGCTGGTTCAGGTCACTGACCTCCATGGGGAGCTCTGGCTCAGTATGCGCATGGGGCCTACATGGGGCCTCTCCGACCCCCATGTCCTCCGTGCGAGCCCTGGCTTCTTGTTTGTTGTGCTTTTGCCAGTTTTCAGGCAGAGCTCCTGGAACAGATGGGATGGAAGGCAACGGCACGTCGCACATATCAACCACATGAACACCAGGCACACAGCGAGTCCTTAGCCCAGCCCGGTGACATCCCGCAGGACCCGCCTCTTGCTGGAGACTTTCACCATCCTGGGCTTGTGTCTCCTTGGCTTGTTGTGCCGTTGCTGGTTGTCAAGCACAAGGCGTAGGGTATCGTAGGGTGCTTCCCTGATTACTACTTGCTTGCTTACTTGCTGGGAGCTGGAGCTCGCGACTTCGAAGGGGACGCGAGATGGACTTTAACCCGATGAAAGCAGATCTTTCTTGATCTCCTGTTTTGATTGTCCACAAAACTGTGTGCGACAGTCCGTACTCGTAGTGGTTCGGGTGTTCCAGCTGCTTTGGCAGTAGCTCTTCAAGTGTTGCCGCGGTGTTGGCGTCGCCAGGAACTATCTGCAGAACACCTACCTGGAGGTTGCCAGTTTCTCAGACAGTTGGATTTCATCAGACTACCGAGGTTTCGCAAGGCTGTTGAAGTTCAGGTACTTCCTGTTCACGCTCCCCAGAACGACTACGGATGTGACCAGAAAACCAAACAGTTTCTAGCTGAGTGTTTCAAGCCGCCATGGAAGTTTGGGCCGATGCTCGGTATGTTCTCGTCTGTTCTCGTCTCTCGTCTGATCCGAGGTATCCTCGGCCAAACTTCTGCTGGGAAGCGTACAAGCACAGCTCCGAGCATGAGCGTGAGCATGAAAGCCAGCGTTGTCGTAGGAACGTTCTGTTCAGGATGCACCTGGCCATGATTGGCCCCAGCTCGACGTGCAAGAAGCAATTCCTGGACTCGCTCATGTTGTCGAAGTTTCAGCTCATGTTGCTGGTGTTCCGCTCCAACTCATGTTCGCCTGCTGCACAGTGTCCGCTTGTGGCGTGCAGGATTTCATGCCGCGGATAGCCCACATCTTCAAGGGCACCGCAACCAAGCTGGCTCCTGGTCGAGAGGCGCGAACCTGCGGGCAAAAATCCATCAGAGATGTTCCACGCAGAAAGCTGCTTCCCTTTTTGAGCTGTGTAAGGCGGTTCCATACCACTTCCTGGACAGTGACTTGAACAGGCTTCGCCAGATCTCTGTGGATCCAGACGGTATCGGCAGGGAAATGCCGGCGCAATCTTGCGATGAGGGTGGTGCTTTGGGACCTGCCAGAGATCATGTTTAAGCAGAAGGCTGAGGACAGGGTCGTGACGCCTGTTGCGGCACCAGCACGCATAGGAGTCACCGGGATATGTGATGTGAATTGCGATGCCTTGCGGCATCGTGGCTTTGTGATGGACGGGCAAATATCCTGCAAAATTTCCTGTGACCTGAAGACAGGTCGAGTTTTCATGATGCTTTGTGTTTTCGGCTGGCATTCGTCGTCACAGTCATGCCCAGCAGTTCGCGGTCTAGGCGAGCTTTCACATTGGGCTACACGTGAAAGCCTCTGCGTGCTCAGTGACAATAATCCGCAAAGCGAAACTCTTTTGTTTTTCGCCTGTAGTGTTTGAGTGGAAGTCAGATCCTGATCAATGGCTTTCCGAGTCCTCGCCCCGGTGCTAGCGATTGTCCAACCCAGATCGTAGTGTCGTCTCTGCAGCTTCTGGGGGCCGTCTACAATGTCTTCTGCCCTCTATCCCGGATCCTCTTCTCGTGACATTCGTGGTACATGTAAGGTGCAAACTCCACAGATGAACTGGCATGGATGCGCAGTGGTGCCCTCTGCCATGGCACAATCTCTGTCAACACGCTTCGCAGGATTACGTCCGCGAGCTAGGTCTTCTGTACATTGATTGCGCCGTTGTCCAAGTGCTACCGTGTTGCGGTGCAGCATTTTTTGAAGGTTGCCGCCGTAGGTTTGCTCATCATCCAGGTCTTCATGCTGTTCTCCGAGAAGTATGTCCTGACGGACATTTACTGCAAGTTGGGTTCCAAGTTCCGAAACTGCCAGCAGAGCATCCAAGCGTCTGAGTGAGGCTTTGTGTTGCGCCTGGAGCCGAGCGCGTGTGGGTGAGGGATTTTTCCTTTCGTGTCATGTCGCTGCCTTGCAGGATGGCCTTGCACGGAATCCCTTTCTTCGTCCTTTGCACACAAAGCGAAGAGGGCATGGACGAAAAGGCGGTCCGAAGGCCGCGTCTTTCCCTGCCAGCTTTGCGCTTCTGCACCGAAGTTCCTGCTGTGTTCTTTCTGCTTTGTCCGACACTTCCATCCAATTTGGGAGGCTTCAAAGCTCATTTCAAGCACAGAGCGTCCAGGTTCGAATGTACACGACCCAGCAAGACTTGAGCCAAAATTCGCAGGGATAGTTTGTTGAATGTCTTTGCTTATCGGTAGAACCTGTCTCTCGTATTCAACTTGGAGGCATAGACTTCGACGTATCTGCAGTGCCCAAAGAGCGGGACATCATTTCTGTCCATGGGGCACTGGGTTTCTTTCTTCGCATCGGATGTGCTACAGTACCTACAACTGAAGGCAGCAAGTGGCTTAGACTAATGCATCCGAAAATCAAAACATCCGTCCCGGAATGCATACTGTTCGCGCACCATCGGAGCTGCCGGCACTGTAGCCTTCACGGCTCAGCTTCGTCAGCTTTGTAACGCTGCTTTCGGTTACGCGTATGCTACATAGGCATGGTCCTAACGCGACGGGAAAGCTTGTAGGCAGTGCAGTTGCAGGTCGACTACAGCAGGAGACCGAAAGCAAATGGGCTGGGTGTGGGACCACAACAAAATGTATGTAATTCCGCTTGAGCAGCTTCGGATACAAATGCAATTGTCCGTTACGTTGCCAATACCGAAAAGCGCAGCTGTGGAATGAAAGCTGCTATTGAGCTGCTGACATTGCCCATGGTGTGGGCAAAAGGGGCCCGAAATTTGAGCCAAACGTCCTAGCGTCTTCAAAGCCTTTCCCCCAAACATATTTTCTCTTCGTGCCACATTCTCTCATCCCCCAAGCGCCAAAGCATCTGGAACCAGAGGCATTATGAAGTGGGAAGTGGCGTAAAGAAGCATGACCCCAGAAGAGATAGCGAGAGAGAGAGATGGAACACGTGTTGCAACACTATACACCTTTTTTGGGGAAGCCCATATCTGGCAATGACGGGCCAATCGAGAGGGGAGCCGTTCCTCACTTGCATGTTTACTGTCGAATCGCTCCTTGCAGTGAGCATAATTCTGACGTGCCGCTGAGCCAAACATCAATACCAATGGGGATGCCACCATCTAAACTGCACGCCTGCAAAACGCTCGGCTTTCTAAATAGGGGCCTTACTGCCAATTGGCACACACCAAACTGGGGCGAACTTCTTTTCCTGTCTTTTGACTACAAAGCAGCAGTACTGATGCATCACACTTTACTACCTTCCTTTGCTGTTGCTTCGCCACAAAAGGATCCTCCTGCATATGACGTATCCACGAGACACCTACGTGTTCTTACATGCAGCGTCTGAAGTAGCTCGGGCCCTAGTTTGTACTGTGTAAACGGGGGACACGATCGCCTACCGTAGTGTACCACACGGAGGACCAGGTTGCTGCAGGAACTAAGGACTTTGACCCAAGAGTTTAGGTTCTGCAGCAACCTTCCTCTCCCAGTCAGACCGTCCATCGGGCCGAACACCGCCGCTTTAACAGGGAGGGGGGTGCCCAGGCGCGGGCTAACGCAGCTGGCCCGGAGTTGACGGAAGGAAGGAAGGAAGGAAGGAAGGAAGGAAGGAAGGAAGATGGAACACGGAATGGGTGGGCCTTGGCCTTGGCCCGGGTCTGCTCGCAGACCTGACCCCAGCAGAAGGAAGGAACACGCAGGCGACTTGTTTTCTCATGCAGCAGTCGGAGGCGACCCCAATGCCGTCCACTTCATAATACAAAGGGTGGTCGGGCGGGCAAATGGCCTGAGGGTCGCGCAGTCGACCCTTAGGCCCTGCAGAAAGAAAGAAAAAAGATGCCCGAGGGACTTGACCGTCCCTCATGCCTCGAAGAGAGAGAAAGAGAGAGTCTGTTCAGATGAGATGTCCCCTTCAGCTCCAGTTAAAACCCATCGCGGGGCATGACAGAAATTTCTAGCTGGTTTCTACTGTGTCTTCGTGTTGTAGTATGGACAACCAGTGGACAACCACTGATCATTCCATGCATGGGGGCTCTGCTGATGTTTTGTGCACTTGCAAGCCCCCGAAGAATGGTAGCCATAGGGCCACGGAGATGAGGCCGAGATGCGGGATAGCGTTGTCTAGAGTTAAGGGTGGGGGACTTCCAACATGCAGCACAGAGCCGACTTTGTTTTGTTGTGCAGCAGCCATAAGAGATCCCAATGCCAACCACCGAATAAAACATTGGGTGGTTGGGCGGGCTAATGACCTGAGGGTCGCGCAGACGACCCCTAAGCCCAGCAGAAAGAAAGAAAAATATCAGACCGCGAAATAGCTTTAACGGTCTCTCCAAAAACCTCATAACATGTGTGTGGCCCAACTGGCTGGGGGGATCTTGACCTTTCCCCCAAGCCCGTCCTTTCCCTCTGCCCTGGTAGAGAGAAAAAGTGCGAAAGGGGGAGAATGAGCTTTCAGAAAAAAGAGGCGTTAAGAGGCGTGACCCTGGGGAGAAAGAACACAAAGCGTCTGGAAGAAGAGACGTAGCCAGGCCTAAAGAGAGAAAGAGAGGCCCGGGGAGGGGTCGTAGCGTACAGGGATTGGGGGCTTGTTCGTCTTCTTCTGCCGCGGTCAGTGAAACCCCAATGCCGGCCACTTAATAAACAAAAGGGTGGTCGGGCGGGCCAAAGGCCTGAGGGTCTCCCCGCGGGACCCCTACGCCCGGCAGAAAGAAAGAAAGCCCGGGGAGAGACAAAGAAGCGTCTGGAAACGGAGACTTAAAGGCTTGGGTCAAAACGGGGACTCGTGTGCCCATTCTCCTGCCATGACGTTGCTTGCCAAAGAAGAAAGCAAAGGGATACCACCGCATAGGCATAGGTGCATCGGGACCTTAAGCTTGAGCCCTCTGGTCCTGTGCATGAGGATGACAAACTTGGGCGTAGTCAGTCGCAGACAATAAATAGATTCCTCGCAGTAGTGATTCCTGCAAAGTATCGGTATGTATCGCTGCTGCTGAGCAAGGTTCAACCCAGCCAAACCGCACGAAACGCTGGAGCCACTGATCAATGATTTCTTCAAAGAGGCAGTGGCAACGCCTTGGTTCGACTGCAGTCTTGTGAACATGCGGCAGCAGGTGACCTGGAACAGAAGCAAAGGCGCTAACAGTGACAGAGTCAAGAATGCAAGTCTGGCTCTTGAGCTTGAGCTGTCTCGCCTGTAGCAGTGTACAGATGACAGATGTTGAATCGATCCAAGGCGAAACTGTACTGGGCCAGACGGTGAGAATCAAGAACTTGGAGAAGAAAGCAGAGCTGAATACCAGGCCGAAGTGGCGTTCGAATGAGTGAGCCGTGTGTGATGGACGACAGCTAAGGTGTGGAGTTTGTATCGGCTACGAGAAGGATCAAGATCGATACATTGTGCGCCTGATCATGGGTGGCGTGGAGACCGATGTGGCGCTGAGGTTTGATTGCTGCGCCGAAAAGGTCTGTCGGTTGAACTCTGAACGATCGAGTGCTTCCTGCCAGGGATCAAAACTTCAGCGTTTTGAAGCCAAAGCTTCGTGGTTCCCTCGTGCAGCTGAAAGGGTGGTGGCCTGACAAATTTCCTGCAATGCTGCTCCGGTACTCGGAGTCGGTGTGTCAGGCTACAGTCAAAGCCCGAGCTGAACGGATCGGGGCTTAGACTCGCTCTCTAGCGATCGGCAGGAGGCTGCAGTTCGTGCACCAAGGTCGCTACGGTTTTGTAGATGAGTTCCTCCGTGAAAACGAACGTTACCGCATTTTCGTACCAGTCGCTTGGCGGGAAATCCATCATTGATTTCATTCTTCATCTAACTGCGAGGTTAGAATAGAAGCGCCTCAGCCACGTGCTTCAAGACTTCAAGCTGGCATGCAGACTCAGTTCCGAGGATAAACCTGGCGTTGCGTTGAACATGGCCCTGAAATCAGAGAACCTGGAAAAGGTCGGCCTTGAAAGCACTCGCCAGATTTAACACGAAGAGTATCACCATGCTGGCAAGGTGTCAGGAACACCTGGTGCCAAGCCAGCCGGCAGCTTGTTCAACGACCCAGCAACTTGAAGGCTCAACAGGATTCGGCACGGCCTTCAGTCGTCGCAAGGTGACGGCGGCGCCGGTTTCAAGTGGTTCTTCGCCCCTGCCGGCGTCTGGCAAGCCTGCATATGCACCACCTGCACGCAAGCCTGCCCAGGCCTTCGACTGAGCTGCCGAAGTGGCTCTAGTTTACATGCTGCATCAGGGAAGTTCCGTCCGAAGTCAGGTGCCTGCGGCCAGTGGTGCGGTCAATGGTGCCACGAATGGCGTCGGACACGGTGTGACAAACGGTGCTGCGAATGGCGCCACAAATGGTGCAGCAAATGGCAGCGCCAAGCACAACGGAGCTCCTACCCCTCAGCCAAGGTGGCGCTAGCCAGGTTGTGTGTGCGAGTTTTTCTCGAGTTTTTCGTGAGAGGAAGGAAGCGATGCCGGCTGCGAGTAAGGAGCCAGCACCGAAAGAGGCCAGCCGTGCACATCAAGCCAAATGTGCTGTCCTTGCACATGAGTCACAAGTCACAAGTGATTAACGACCTCCTGGGCAAAGCACTTGCTCACACTGAATGCCTGCTGTATCCGCATCCCGTCTTTAATAGTGCCGGATACCTGCCGCAGGACGAGGACCTCTCTGCATTCTTGCCTAAGGTGCAGACCTAGGCTGTAATATGACGGCGTGGTCTGCCATTATGTGATCTCCAAATATCTGGAGGTCGGAGCCACAGAAGAGGAAGGCCGATCGCTCTGAGACGTCCATCGGGCTGGAGCACTCCCGCTGTTCTGCCACAGGTGGAGATGACTTGATGTCACGTATTTTCGCAGCCGAAAGCACAGCGGATGTGACTCAGGCCGAGCTGCACAGCGGTGTGAAGTGGTGTGGTCAGCTCATGACGGGCATCTTTGTGCATTCACGAGGCCTCAGCAAGAGTGGAGGAGAAGGAGAGAGAGCCTGCGGTAACTGCAGCGGTGCCTGTCAAGAGGCTGGGTCTTTCCGTCCTGAGCCTTGTTGCAATTGCGTCTCGTTCATCAGGCTGCATCTCTCAAAGGCAGGTCTACTGGGGATGCGGGTTTGGGCAGCCATGGGCCCGGCACAACCGCGGAGAGAGAACCCTCCCTTCCTTCGTCAGAGTGTTCTGGCCAAGGTCATCGGTGATTGTCCTGATGCAGAAGACATCATCGATCACTTGATGGACTGTTTCAGATTGTCTCGGGAGAGAGACGGCCTCGCGGCGGCGCAGCAGCCCGGCAGGACTGCGGAAAGACTGTATTCAATGTTGGCGGTGGGGAAGGTGCACACTTTTCTTCAACCGTCGGAGCTCCAGCCTGTTGAGTGTGCTGGCAGTATTGCTGGTCTGCCGTCTCACAGAATGAGGCCGAACTCAACATGGACCCCAACTTGCCGAAGACCGAGGCGTGTGCAGAATGTTTCCTTTCTGAAGATACTCTTAGTGCTTTCTCTGAGCGGCAGACGGTCGCTGCAGGTGCTGGCATTCATAGACCCCAAGGACAGTTGGTCTTCACTGCGGAAGAGATTTTCTTGACCTTTTTCGGGGTTGTTTTTTTCTTTGGTCTCGGGGGGGGTGGGTGGGTGGGTGGGGTGCAGGGGGGTGCGCCGGACTGCGGGGAGCTCGTGGGGTTGTGGGGGCCGGGGGTCGCGGCAATATTCTGGTGGAAGGTCGAACTCACTTTAGCCTCCGCAACACACCGTTTTGACATGAATTTGATTTGATTTGATAAGATCGATCATGTAGAAACTGTACTGTTTTGTCTTATATTGATACAAGTTCAGTATGATATGTATATTGTCATTATACAAACTTTATATCAATATGTTGTAATTAATCTAACAGAAGAGGAGGCTGTGGGGCCTGCGTTTTGGCAAGCCACTATTTTGAGTGTTTTTGCATGTTGTGAGTGGTTGTGCGTCTGTTTCTGTGTCCTGTCTGTGTTTCTGTGTGTGAATAGCTTGGTGTGTGTGTGTGTGTGTGTGTGTGCGTGTGTGCGTATGTTTTGTTTGGACCTACAACATCAAGTCGAAGTTGTTGCAA